AACAACAACAACAACAACAACCAGGAGGGACCAGTCGCTGGAGAAGGACATCATGCTTGGTACTGTAAAGGGTCAGCGATGAGCTGACACAGTGGATGCAACAATGGGTTTTAGCATAGCAGTGTTGCTGAGGAGGGCACAAGACCGGGCAGTGTTGATTTCTGTCGTACATGGGCTTTCTGTGATTCGGAACTCACACATGACACCTAATAACAACAAGGTAAGAATTGGGTGTCCTATGTAGCAGAAGAAATACCTAAGTCATTCCCAGCTTATTGTTGTTGTTGTTCTTATGTGCCGTGGAGTCGGTTCCGACTCATAGCGACCCTATACAGGGTTTCCGAGGCTGTAAATCTTTACGGGAGCAGAAAGCCTGATCTTTCTCCCGTGGAACAGCTGGTAGTTTCGAACTGCTGACCTTGCGGCTCGCAGCCCGATTCGTAACCACTACACTACCAGAGCTCCTTATTATAGGGGGGGTGGGGGGTGGAAAGCTCTTAATAACTTTAGAGACCTCACTTATCCTGACTTTTCTTTAGACTCAGGCTGTGTCATAAAATCTTAAGGAGCCAACATCATCAAAATAAGAGCTTTCAGTACAGCTATCTGTGTGAAACTGGGTTAGGTTTAACAATCTGTTTTGGTTTTGTTTTTATTTCTGTGATAGATAATATGGATTTCGTTTTCAAATTTTATGTTTGAAACAATGCATCTTCTTCTGTTGCTGTGGGGTACTTACCGCTACAACTATATCTCAGTTTTCCACATGCAGAGGAAGGGTGTCAAGGCCCACACCGTTCACATTCATAGTCTATGGTCTGGTCCCTTCGTTCTCTACCTCTTCCATCCTACCTCACCTTCCACTGGCTCTTTATTGAACAACATCACTATGGTATCTGATGGAGAAGTGTGTTTTGTGTGTGTGGCAGGGGTAGTATTATTAGTATATTACATATTTTAGATGAGAATACTTTTGGAGCCACAGGGTCTTGGATTTGAATTCTGCTGATCAGTTATTAGCTAAGTGATTTTGAGCTTAATCTTTCTGAAATTGGTGAATCCTACAAGGAGCTCTGGTAGCCGAGTGGTTACGAGTCGGGCTGCTAACCTCAAAGTCAGCTAGTTTGAAACTACCAGTGGTTCCATGGGAGAAAGATGAGGCTTTCTGTTCCTGTAAAGATTTAAAGCCTCAGAAACCCTTTACAGGCTTGCTCTGAGTCAGAACCGACTCCACAGCTTACTACCACCACCACCACCAATGTCAGGTGAGGTTAACTAAGATTCTGAATGTAAAGTAGCTAGTAAAGCACTTAGAATGTAGTAAAGAATAAATTACAGTTTAATAAGAAGGCCTGCATTTTCTTCTGTATGTAAAGACTCAACAGTTTTCATATTTTTTACTATGATATTTTAAGTGTAAAGGCACTCAAGGCAGATTAAGATCAGCGCTTTACTGTTTGAACTTGGACATGTTATTAAACTACCCTCTCCCTTTGTTTCCTTACCTATAAATTGGGCAAAATAAAAATACAAACTCCCTAGGACTATGTGTTGTTGTTAAGTGCTGTGGAGTCAGTTCCAACTCATAGCGACTCTGTATAGGATTTGCAAGGAGTGGCTGGTGAGTTTTAACTACTGACCTTGTAGTTCAGACAGACCTTGCAGTCCAGTGCATTATCCTGCAATGCCACACAGGACTCCCCTAGGACTATGTTGTGTTGTTGTTATGTGCTGTGGACTTGGTTCCGACTCATTGCGACCCTGTACAGGGTTTCCGAGGCTATAAATCTTTACGGGAGCAGAAAGTCTCCTCTTTCTCCCGCGGAACAGCTGGTAGTTTCAAACTGCTTACCTTGCGGTTCCCAGCCTGATTCGTAATTAAATGGCATAAACGCTATATAAAGGCTTAGTTCTTGGCATATATAAGTAGTATTTTATAAATACTATAAACAATAATCTCAACACACGATTTCAAAATTACTGTTTAAACACTAAAGAATTGTGCCTAATTTGCCTACTTTCTTTCTCATATAGATCAGGTAGATTTTCAGAATGTGAATCATATAAATATTTTAAATGAATAGTTGATTTATTCAATTTTCAGTCATGAAATGAAGGAGGGGTTTGAATATTATTTGATTATTTGATCCATGCAAGTAAACATATTGAATTACTCAGGACCCCAAAATGAGATTCAGTTTTTCAACTTGCCTTTCTTGAGATGAAAATAATCATGTATTTTTCAAAACTTTGTAATTTTGAGTTGGCTATTTACTATTTTTTCATGACATCTTCATTTTTCTTTTCTTAAAAAAAGTTCTTGTGCTTTGCAATATTTCCAAAATCAATTTCCCTCAGTTTTTTCTAATAAAAATTTGCTAGAAGTCACACAGCTCAATTTTCAAATATAAATTGCTGTGTTTTTTTTTGTTTGTTTTTTTTCTTTTGTTAATCCTTAATATTATTCCTAGTACTATTCCTAAACTGAACTGGTGTGATGCTGTAGGATCAGCACTGGGCTGCAGACCACAAAGGCGACCATTCAAAACCACCAGCTCCTCCTTAGAAACTCTATACAAAGTCACTATGAGTCAGAATGAACTGGACAGAACTGAACAATTCCTAAATTGGTAGTCTTTAACAAATACATTGTTTATTCAAAAGGAAAGCTGTGGTTCTTGAAATAACCAAATACCTTACTAGAATTGATAGAATAGGGACAACTGAGTCAATTGCCATAGTATAGTTCATAAAGCTATATTCTATATATCCTGATAAAACAAGGAAGATGGAGCGAGGCATGTAGGAAAGAACCTCTAATTTCTAAATTAATAAATAACCAGACTTACTGGACTGGTTGAGAGTCCGAGTACGGCATTGGACCACAAGGTATGTTTGAACTGTAAGGTCAGCAGTTCAAACTTACCAGCCGCTCTTCAAAAATCCTACACAGGGTCGCTATGAGCCAGAACCAACTCCATGGCTCTTAACAGCAACAACAACTGGACTGGTTGAGACTAGAGGACTCCTTGAGACTATTGAGATACACATCAAATCTTGACTGAAACTAAGCCCAGAGTCCACCTTGTATAACAAATGGTCTACAAAAGTAATATCACTGTGTTCCTTTAAAAAATCACCTATATGTGACCAAACAGCCAGCAAGTACTTTAGAACAAATATGGAAATGTAAGGGTATAGGGAAATCACCTACATGTGACCAAACAGTCAAGAATTGTTTTAGAACAAATGTGGAAATGTAAGGATAGAGGGAAACTAGATTAATGGAAATGGAAAAGCCAGAACAGTACTGGTGGAGTAGAAGTAATTTTTTATTGTTTAGTAATGATCCTAGTGACATCACAATTTTCATTGGCATTGATCCATTATTACTACTGTATTTGTTATATCAACTTTACCCTTTTGCATTAGTGGTGCATTTTTTCATTTCCTAGCTGGCTTAAGTCCTGCTGAGATCCAACAGTTATGGAAAGAAGTGACCGGAGTTCATAGCATGGAAGACAATGGCATTAAACATGGAGGGCTAGACCTCACTACGAACAATTCCTCCTCGACTACCTCCTCCACCACTTCCAAAGCATCACCACCAATATCTCATCATTCCATAGTGAATGGACAGTCTTCAGTTCTAAATGCAAGGCGAGACAGGTAAACTCATATGACCTATTTTATATCCTTCTATCATCAAATTTTAGTTTCACCATTGATTGACAATAATAATAAAAAGGGTATGTAAGTAGTCAGGGGGAAAGTGTGTAAAACAACAAATTCAATCATCTTCAGCTATCTGTTTGAAATATTCTGTTTTATTACAAAATGAAATTCAAATGCCAATCATTTGATCAGTATAGTTGGGGAGTTTGTCTGAAGAAACTGGTTTTTTAATCAGTGTGTTCAGAATGATTGTGTAAAACACTTTTTCAATCTGTCTGCTAGAACAACAGTTTACCATTTTTTAAGCTAAGAACCAATTCTTCAATTTCAAATAATTTAAGATACATGTGTATCCCCTTAATATATTTTTCAAGTATGTGTTTAGCTATCAGAGAATAGGTCTACATATGTTTACAAACACAGGCATAATGAACCAGAAGACAGAAAATCTAGTTTGCCTTATTGATTGTTGTGGCAAGATGGATTTTATAAATTTATAAAAATAGGCATGCACTGTGATAGCTTTCTGAATCAATCTGACTCAGAATTCATGAAGACATTTTTTTTTAAGTCAGTCATTAACATTGAGCATATTGTTAGAAAACTTTTGAACTTACTGTTATACCTTTTATTATGTAAAAACTGCCTTTATAAAAGGAGTGCCATTGCACTTTTGTCCATTTAATTGTGTTTACTCGGGTTTATAACTATCTAATCAAATCCTTTAAGGTATTTTAAATGAACTATCTAAGACAAAATACTGTTTGACATGAAAATATCTGTTTTTAGCATCTTAAACATTAATGTAGATTTTCTGAACAGATGACTTAGGCTCATATTATTATTGAAGCTCTAAACTTCCTATGTAAGCATCGTGGATTGGTAATGTTCTGTTATATAATGTGAACACACTGTATTCTTAGTTTCTGTAAATTCATGTCATATACAAATCATGTTTCAAAGAAACAGTTATTTAATTACAATATAGTTTAAAATAGAATGCTGTCAATTGGTCATATTTTTGGACGTCAGCTGAGTACTGGGAAAAAGTTTGCTTGTGAGCTGTCATTATTATAAAATGGGATGTTGTCAGTGTTCTCATGCTATTGTTTTAATTGAGAGTAATTTGATGATTATGTATTTCAGAAGGTGGTTGCTTTCTCTACGACCACTCTGTCTGAAATAGTACTCATTAGCAAAAGTCTCTAATAATTGTGAAAGAATATAGCAAGTGAATATTGTTACAAAGTAGAATTTTTAAGGAAACTAGTATAAATCTATGTGGTTTCTGCATGCATATTAAACAGCCAAAATGATCCTGAAAGTCCATATGCTCTTTTAAAAGAACAGTTCAAAATCTTACTGTGACTATCTTATTTTCTTTAAGATACATTTTTTTCTTCACTTGACCACATATGAATATATATATTTTTTGTTTAGAGGTAAAATGTTACATTAAGGTCATATGGCAGGATTAGCATATGATATTATACAATACTCTTAGTTTTTCATCCTTTATTAACAGTCATCTTTGGCTCTACTGCTCCTCTAATTGGAACATCATCTAGCCTTGGCAGTTGAACTATTCAATAGAACAATTAAATTTTTCTGACTGCTCTGAGCTGAATTGACCTGTTTTGACCTGTTTGTCACTGATCGTAACCTGACAGGCGCTAGCAGCCTGCAACGATTATGGCTTTTTGAGATGAATCTGACGTCGTGTTCTTTTGCTACAGCTCATCGCATGAGGAGACTGGGGCCTCTCACACTCTCTATGGCCATGGAGTTTGCAAATGGCCAGGCTGTGAAAGCATTTGTGAAGATTTTGGACAGTTTTTAAAGTAGGTTTTTCACCTTTGTTTTGGTGGGGAGAACATGGACATTTTAGGTGTGTTGTTATACATAAACAAGATGAAGGAGGAAAGTCAGAATCCATCCTAAGGCATTCCGTAAGTTTCTGTGTGCTCTCAACAAGTGGATGAGCTAAGATTAGGCTAAAAAGGTTAACTCTTCTCCCTTGCATTGTCATGAAAATATTTTACAAATAATTTAATGATGAAAAATATTAGCCCACTATAATAGGGTCCCACGGGAGAAAGATGAGGCTTTCTGCTCCCGTAAAGATTTACAGCCTTGGAAACCCTGTACAGGGTCACTATGAGTCGGAACCAACTCCACAGCACATAACCACCACCACCATCATAATAGTGTTGCAGTGCTGGTGTAGTGCTGTGGGTTAATGCGCTGCACTGTAAAGTTAGTTTGAACTGCAAAGTCGGTGGTTCAAGCTTACCAGCCGCTCCTCAGAAACTCTATACAGGGTCGCTATGGGTCGGAACTGACTCTACGGCACATAATAAAAACAACAGTAACATAATAATGTCACTGCATATTGAGAGACATATTAAATTTCCAAAGTTTCTGTTTAAAATTTCAGGAAATATTATTAAGTAGTAAGATATGTATGTGTGGAGTACTGGTGTGGTGCTATAGGGTAAGAACTCAACCACAAAGTCGGTTTGAACCACAGTGTCAGTGGTTCGAACTCATCAGCTGCTCCTTGGAAACCCTATATAGGGTCACTATGAGTTGGAACTGACTTGATGGCACTTAACAACAACATATATACATGAGCTTCAAAAAGGTTGTAGAAAAGTTCCATTATCCTTAATTACATTTTTATACAAACATTTTGAAGTTCCTATGTACACATACTTTGATAGCGCAGTGGTTACGAATTGGGCTGTGAACCTTAAGGTCAGTGGTTCGAAACTGCCAGCTGCTCCATGGGAGAAAGATGAGGCTTTCTACTCCCATAAAGATTTACACCCTCGAAAACCCTGTACAGGGTCGCTATGGGTTGGAACCGACTCGACGGCACTTAACAACAATGTACACATACACAGGCAGTCCACAGGTTAGCGACATCTAACTTACATATAATACCTCCAGTTAAAAGTCAATCCCTAACTTACATATAATACCTCTACTTAAAAGTCAATCCCTGCAAAGCCTTTTATATAAAAATTATATGTGTTATATGCAATAGTTTGTAATAACAAACAGGCATTACTTAGCAATTTGTATCAAAACATTATTGTTATTAGTATTGTTGTATTATTATGCTAAAGATGTTTTAATGTGTCTGGAAACTTTTCTTTCTTTATTTTTTTATACATAGAAAGATATACTATAGACTGTATACTAAGACAAACAATTTGACGTTGGATATGAACCTTACCTGACTGTTCAACTTAACAGACAAATCTAGCTTAAAGACAGAAACAGAGTTTGTTTATTAGCCAGGCATTGCCTCTATCTGTGTGTATGTGTGTGTGTGTCATTTGATACTCGTTTTTTTAGTCACAGAGTTAATTGTTGTTGTTGTTGGGTGCCATCGAGTTGGTACCAACTCACAGCGACGTTATGTACAACAGAACGAAACACTGCAAATCTCACAATGGTTGCCACGCTTGAGCCCATTGATGCTTCCACTTTGCCAATCCGTCTCCCTGGGCATCTTCCTCTTTTCTCAGACCCTAGCTCTTATTTAAAACAGTAAGGAACCTATTGGTGCAATACATTAAGCATTGGTCTGCTAACTGAAAGGTTGGTGGTTTGAACCCACTAGTTGCTCCTGAAGAGAAAGCTGTGTCAGTCGCCTTCCCTAAAGATTTACAGCCTCAGAAACTCTATGCTGGCTGGTATTGTCTCTGTGAGTCCTAATTGACTCGATGGAAGTCAGCTAGGATTTTAAACAATTATATTTATTAAAATCATTAAATACAAGGAGACTTCAAAAGTTCATTTGTAAACACATATTCACTCATATTTTGCATGAACTTTTTGAAGCCCCCTTGTAATGATAGTTACTAAGTATCAGTGAAGAATGATGATACTTAATGTACATTTAGCAACAGAACAGAAAATACAGGAAGTCAATGCTGGCAAAAATTTCAACAAGTAACTGTTTCATTGAAGCTGTTGCTTGTTGCCCTCAGAATCATAAAGGAACAGTATTTGTATAAAACACTGCCTGACTTACATGCTGAAAATAAAAATTTTGTGTATCCTTGATTTCTTCACAAACCGTAGTATTTTTGTATTATATTAATCCTTGAGAGGTTCTTTTTCAAATAAGAATATGCATCTTTGATGAAACTCATCCTTGCACAGCCCTGATATGCAAGAGATGTAAACAGAGAGCTCTAGATAGCTTTATGGAGATGGGTAACTTCACAGGCTGAGGCTCGTATGTTGTCATGGTGCAGCTAACAGGGTGAATGAACTGTTTCATGCTTCATCAACAATTAAGTTAATTAGCTCATTTGAAATTGCACTGCTTTGTTGCCAGAATGTTGGCAGAAACATCAAAAAGATGTGTTTACAAATGGTGGACTACAGGGGATAGAGCAAAAGCACCTTAACAACAAGGCGCAAGTACTTGGCATCATCCTGACTTTATAACTGAATTACAGTAAGACTTCCTTCCGCAAGGATTGTTTAACCCTTTCTAGTTTCTGACAAATGAAAAGAAAATATGCTTCATCTATCACTACAGCTCCTTGTGAATGGTCTGAAATAAAAATTTCTACTTCTATTATACCAAAACAGTTGCAAGTGGCCACTTTGTTGGGTATAAAATTGATTTCTGTGTTCTAAGCAAAGAGAGTATTAAAAATTTTTCATAATTGCTAAAATTTCCCTAAGAAAAATGTTGGTTAACACCAAGATAGAACATTAATAAAAACAAAACCCAAAACACTGCTATTGAGTTGATTTCTACCCATAGTGATCCTATAAAGCTATTAATTCTTTTAAAAGCTAAGTTAACATATTTCTTAATATGTTATTTCTTATTGATAGATTATATTACTACTTAGCATTAAGATTAGGGACTGCGACGGCTCTGTAGGATAAGCACTGAATCACAATTACAAGGTCAGCAGTACAAACCTACCAGCCGTCCCATGAAAGAAAGATAAGGTTTTTCTGCTTTCACAAAGATTTGTGCCTTCAAAAACCCTATACAGGGTCATTATGAGTCAGAACTGTCTCCATGACACTTAACAACAAAAACAGGATAATTTAGAGAATTCCTGTTACAATTAAGTATGGCATTGTAAACCATAGAATTGAGCACATTTCATTCCTTCATTTATTCTGAAAAAAATTAAGATTATCTTTAAGAAAATATACATATGTTTTCTTTAATGTGATTTGTATTAAAGAACATGAAAATGATGGCTTTTATTTGTTTCAAATAATTGCACATTTTTTATTACTAACAAACACTTGAGTATGATTCCTCATTTTACCCTCCATGGTCTTTTTTTTTTAATTTTCATGTCAGTGTTTTTAAAAAAAAAAAAAAAAACAGAAGAAATTATAATTAAAACAGCATTTCCTTTCAATTAAATATCAACTTTGATTCCAAAGACTGACCATTTTTCCAACCCATTAACTTGATAGGGATGACAGAATTAATGGCAGTAGATTTTCAGGCCTTTATCTTAGTCTACTTTTGTTATGATATGCTTGATGCTCTCTAATGCAAAGATCTGTGATGAACTCTGTTAATAAAGTCAGTGCCAGTATTCTGTACTGAAATGAAATATTAATTAGACATATTTTCCTTATTGGTATTATCTTTTTCTTTAACATATGTGTGAAATTTGAAGAGATTATATTTCATACGATGAGTTAACTTCAATTATTTAGAAAAAATCTATCTATCTATCTATCTATCTATCTATCTATCTATCTAGATATAGATATAGATATATTTATTATTATTATTTTTTTAAGTGTCCATGTGGGGAGTGGAATGAACAAAGGTACCAGCATGCAAACATATTTTCTTTGAAATAAAAGTTTTCTTTTGTTTTGTAATACTGGAGAGAATAGAAAATTTTGAGGAAGCAAAAAAAAAACAGGCAAGTCACAAAGCTGTAAAAGTTGTTAACTTTAAGTCTCCTTGTTTATCAACTCTCATATTTTAAAATTCAGCATGAGAAAACTACTATTATGGAATTTTTAAATTTCCAAAATACACGAAATGTTAAATGTGTAACTCCAGCTTTATTTTGGATAAATCAATGGATAACTTATCCATTGATTTCAAATAAAAACACATCATCCATTGTTATCACCTAGCCTACATATGCTAAATAGCAAAGGGGTGTAGAATATTGTGTCTCAAAATTTGCATTCCAAAATGAACTTGTAGATCCCCTACATTTTCACCAAATGAAAAGCCAGCAAAAGACAGTTGCATCTGTATTTCATAATATGTACATATATGTGTATGTTTTATTTCATATTCAACTGCAGCATTTATACTGAATAAAACAATTGGGACCAAATTACAAGTTGATGTTTATAACAGCAAAAATGAAAGAAGAAAACAGAAGCTATGACTCAAAATGTGTTTAGGAATTTTTTTTTTTTTAATTTTACCATAAATGGGTTTTAACAGAAGCTAATCAGTTTTATGTCCACTAACTGAGGACCTCACTAGATCACCAAAACCATCTAATCCTAGTTCTTCATAACTGTTTTTAAAGAATCATAGTGTAATAATGTATAACAAAACTTTAGTGTAATTGGTGTGCATAATTAATTGTCATTCTCTTGAATCTAAGTCAGTCTGAATATATACAGATTGACTTTCAGAGCTTAAACTAAAGGTTTACAATGGCATTCCAGTTAGCAGACACTTGTTCTTGAACCTACATGAGCACATGCTAGTAAACATAGTAAGCGGTATGAACGTGGAAAGTCTATGCAATAAGAAAGACAGAATAGCTGCTGTCCATAAAAATATCATTCTATTAAAGATTAATTAGTTGATGAACATACATGAACTAGGCATGTTACAAAGCTTGATTGTTAAGGCTTGATACTATTGATGGAATCATAGGCAAGGTAGTAGAAATAGGATAGTTTATTTAATGAAAATGTGTTGTGGTGTTTGTTTTTCTTTCCACGACTCTAAAAATTACACTCTCACTTAGGGTTTATTGTCTATTTCTTTGTCTTTGACTAGGCAGCATGGCTACAAAATTATGACCTCAAGAAGGCATTCTTTGAACTTGTCAGAATGTTGTTTCTTTTGGTGACAGTGCCCCCATCTCTCAAAACTAAGGCATCTCACATAATCAACTAAATGAATAGTGACAGCTAACATTTTGTATTTAAACTCCTGTCAGTGTTTAAACATAAAAAGCTTGATGCAAAATAAATCAAACACCAGTGATATGCAAGTGAAACATTTTGTTAAAACAGTCCCTGACATAGTTGGATTTAAATCTGATCCCTTTTTAGCTTATGAAATGCTATATAACTTTAAATGAATTTGAAAAATCTAGAGGTTAAAATTGAATTGCTAATCTGGAGTGTATAATTGAAGTTACTACATGCATTCATAACCTTAAAAGCTTCGTTAAGGAGAATTGTGCATTAAATAGATTGGAATGATCCTTTCCTACTTTTTTTTTTTTACTTCCTGAAATGCTTGCTTAATTGTTTTTTTTTTTTGAAAGAATATGACTGTCTATTTACGTTTTTTCTAGTGCACCTTACCTACCTAGCACACAGATTCAATACAGTTTTGAAAGAACGTCAGTCGACCACATCATTTATTCCATTTTGAAAACAAAAATCAATATACCTATAAAGTGACCCATAAATTAGAACTGGCTCACACAGTGTTTGTTCAGTACTGCTTTTCTGAAGGCACCCTTTGCATTTTTTCTTCACCTCTCTGTTTGAACTGCAGTCTCGGTAAGAGGCTCATTAGGGGACATTAGGGACTGGAGCTAACCAGAATTCCAGAGCTTGCTTTGCTCTTATTAATGCATAGTAGAGTAGAATGCATTTAAATATTTCATAGGCATTCAGTAATTTGTGTGTAATCGCCTTGTTAGCAGACCAGTAGAAGTAGAACAGGCCTGTGAAATGGTGTTAGTGATTGCAGGGGTAATTTACAGACCTTTGCCATCAGAAAGAGTATTATTGTTGGCTAGTATGAAGCTGTGAAATAGAACTAGCAATAAGTAAAAAAAGAAACTTAATAAAGGTTTTGTAACAAGCATCTTCAGGGATAGCAACCCCACTTGGTCCTTTTTGAAGCAGCTATAATTTATGACATAGGCAATATATCAAGTGCATAAGATAGTGTTATGGAGCATTCATAGGGAAAGGGTATTTGCAACATTAGTTCCAACTTCCTGCGAGGGACATGATTAAATGATTAATGAAATGTCCCTTTGCATATGCATTTTGAAACAGCAATTAGGCACTGACTGAGAAAAATCCACCAATCCTCTCATTTTTCAGGATTATCTCATTCTTGATTTATAAATCATAGAGAATTTCTGAACAGCAATATGTAGTACCTGAGATAGTTATAAAAACATAAAAGAGAATAATTTGGGCACAAAATAGTCATAAATATATAAATTCGTAATTTAATGTTAAAACTCAGTCTATTTATTTAGTCGTATTGCATTGTATTTATATCCTCCACACTATTTCTGTAGTTTGATTGGCATAATTAAGTAGGGGAATGAATAGGCACTATTATTTTACATATCACTGGTAAACAATAGCGAGGAAAGGAGAAGGGAGATGTGGCAGAGGTATGTATGTGTTTTTCAAGTTCTCACTAATCCACTGGAGGCTGTTCTATAAATGATCATTGAAGGGCTGCAAGCTAGCCTATAATTACAGGAAAGAAAGTGGCAGCTCTGGCATTTCATAACTATGTGTCCTCGAAAAGTGCTTTGTGAGTTTGTCACCAATGATAATTTAGATAGAGGCTCATTACTGAACATCACAACACTTTAAAAACCTTTCGCCTTCATACAGGAGAATAAAGGACTATTTTAATGGCAAGGTTCTTTTGTGTTCCACTGAAAAATTCAATCAAGACAAAACCTCATTGACTATTATTGTAGTCTACAGTCTCTATTCTAATAAAAGCTGCATAGATAAATTGAATAGGTCTCTAAGACCCAAGTATATAATGCAAACATTTTGTACTTTTTCTAGTCCTTTAAATATAGGATAATGATTATCACTAAGAAGTAAACAAGTGTAAAAAACCTTTTTTTAAAAGAAATTTTATGCCCCCCCCAAATAATAATAGTAAAGCAAGCATGTTATAATGAATATACCTTCTCTTGTGACACTGTGCATTCCACTTCTCCCATTTGCTTCATTCACACAGTGATCTTTGTGTGTAGCTGAAGCCTTTTAAAAACATCTGCATCATTTACACTGGTTGTGAAAAAAACATGTTTATCCTCAAGAGTTGATAGTGCAAAGAACATAAGAAAATACAACCTTAAGAATATAGCAAACTATTGCATTGCACTGATAGAAAATTATCTTATTTCACATTAAAAATTTACGTGGAAAAGGCTGCAAAATAAGTTTCATATGTTGTTTTCTGCTGATCAGGAATTATAAGTCTACTTATTATAAACTAACTTCTTGTCATACTCCAACACTCCATGCCTCCTGTCCAGAAAACATGTGTGAATTTCCATCTTCATTAGAGTTAGGTTCACTACAGAACCGGTTGGAGCTGAGTTTAGCACAGACAGGTAGAGTGGAGGTGCCTCTCCTGTCCTCTAACCTGTATACCTCAAGCTTGACCTGATACATACACCTTACTGTTTTCATCTACAGTCTCTTCTCAGTGGAAACTTAGAATTGTGCTGAGACTTAGGGAGGTTTTGTTGTTATGATCATCAAGGAGATAAACAAACTGGTTTCATTTATCAAAGAACAAAGGATTCAAATTGCTAAACCGAGATCCACTGACAAATCAGCACAGTTGTTTATATTTTTTTCAGCAGCATATAAGTTCTTCTTCATATATGTCTGACTGTATTTGTAAGCTTTGTGATTAACTTCAAGAAACAGAGGTAAACAATTTCAATAGGTACAAAAACCACATCTTTTGAGTTCAACATACTGAGGGATGAACTGAACATTTTGAACTATTATACCATTTCCAATGATACTTATAGGCACATCGGTAAATATGCAGATTCTTACAAATAGTTTAAGTATTGTCTTTTAACTTATGGGCATTGATGGGAATATCTCTGATCAACCACTACCTTTGTATGCCAGTTGGTGGAATGGACTCACCAAAAGATATTAATTATTTAAAGGTTTATTTTTTATTATCATTAAGCAACGTTGACTCAGTTCTGACTTACAGCAGTACTAGACACAACAGACCACACCACTGTCTAGTCCTGTATCCGTCTCACAATTGTTTCTGTGCTTGAGTCCATTGTTACAGCTGCTATGGTCAGTCCATCTTGTTGAGGGTCTTCCTCCTTTTGACTGATCTTCTCTTTACTCTACCAAGCATCATGTCCTTTTTCAGAAACTAAATGATTACAAATGAACGGAATATATATTTTTAATATTTTCTTATTTCACAGAGGTGCCACCCTGCTTTACCATCGTATTCACTAGAGACATCTCTGTAAGCAGTACACAGGAATACCTCATTTTAATGTGCTATAATTTATTGCACATTATAGATATTGCATATTTTTTAAAAATTTAAGGTGTTTGTGGCAGCCCTATGTTGAACAGGTCTGTCAGCACCATTTTGCTAACACCATGTGCTTACTTCCTATCTGTGTATTATATTTTGGTAATTCTCACAATATCTCACACTTTTTCTTAAAGCCATTGCACACTTCATAAACTGCAGTGTATGTAAACATAACTTCGCATGCTCTTGGAAACCAAAATAAACTTGTGTGGCTCACAAGGTTTTTGTGATATTTGTTTTATTGCTGGAAATGAACCCACAATATCTGCTAGCTATTGTGTATACTGTAATAAGGATGCAGATTTCAGATTGAAGTAAAATAATTAGAGCGACTTGTCTTTCGTCATGTTGCATAAACTTTGGCTCACAAATAGGACAATAAAATAAAATATCTCAAGATCTTGATTTTCAGGATTTTCAGTGCAGTTTATTTATTTGATAGTAACAGTAAGTGATCATTCTTCATAAGTCTTAATGTCTCCATGGGATGATAGCTTTCCATCTTTACCGAATTCACACTATATCCCAGTGGAATAAGGTATCACTCACTAAATAACATCATCAGAACCACAAACTGTTTTAGCAAAAATGGAATCGAGAATTGCCTTTGTTCTTTTCAGAATTACTTTTGATTCATATGTTTATAAGGTGTCCTTTAAAAAAATGACAAGAGCATGTGAAATACATCTAGTGATTTCCACTATTACTCTGTAAATGGTTGGGGAAAATATTTTCTGTGATAGCTGATAAGCTCAGAGACAGTGATACTTTCTGCCACATGAAGGTTCTGTTTGTATTTCATAAATAATATCAATAAACACATACTTATATTTAATTCTGCTCCATATGGTTTGTGGCAGACCCCTTGTTTTGCAGACGTCACTATGACTTTAGCCTAGTGCTGATGAAGTGCAACTCTGACATTCAAGCGCACACTGCTTAGCATTCTGTTTTGTGTTTGTACAGGCACCTTAACAATGAACATGCATTGGACGACAGAAGCACTGCCCAGTGTCGAGTGCAAATGCAGGTGGTACAACAGTTAGAAATACAGGTTTGTCAGATGCTCATTTAATGAACTCTTCTCTTAGGTCTGTGGTGTGTTCAATTTAGTGTTGGTCAGATGCTGGGTTTTAGAACACACTTTCACTGTCTCAGTAACAGAGTGACTAATAAAGATACCTAAATTTTAGATTATTTTTAGCCATGGCAATGATTGATAACTCAGAATGGACTGCTGTAGTTTAAGATACCTAGTACATAGAGTTATAGAATGTTTAGTCTGTATGTCATCTATCTGGGTATTCCAAAACAGTCAAACCACATTTTCTCTAGTATGGGTTTAACCAATTGGGTGTGATTCTATGAAGGGGACAGTTTTTACATGAACAAATCTTGATGTTCCTGTGGTAGCTTATATTACAGGAAAAGGCCAAGATCTACAATATATTATTTTTCTGTAATATAATATCCTGACAAAAAGGAAACAGCAAACTTTTCTGCTACTAATATATTTTTTATTCAAACTTCACTTGCAAAAATTCTTAATACTCATCTCTAATTGAAGTAATGGCAAATTATTTATAGTATTAAAGATGATAATATATGTGATGGTTCCAATGCTGATGATTTAATTTTTTAAAATAAACCTTTCTGTAAAGTTTTGAAACAGAATTTGTCCACAAATAAAATTCATAAAACTGATGAGAAAGCAGTTATATTAGTCTTTCATGTTTTTACAAACCCTTAAGGCTTGCTTTAATATTGTATCTTAAGGAACTTTGTTCTTCTGTTTTCTCAAAACTAATACTTTAATTTTAATCACTCAATTTTGTTTTCTTCACACTTTGCTAGATTTCAAATTCATTTCAATTCATCATGTTATTGCTTTTTTCCAAGGAGCTACTAAGAATGTTTTGACCTGTACAGTAATCAAAGAACATAAAAAGCATCGTCACTCTTGTAGTTGAAAAGCTTTTTGTAAATGTGTTTACCATTTATAAAAGACACCAGAGTTCAGCTGATGATGCGGTCTGCAGTGTGACCAATTAGGCCTCTTTTTTTTTTTTTTTTCTGCTGTGTCTGACTGATGGAAAAGTAAGGTCCGTCAGTTGTAATGAGACCCAGTGCAAGTGTAGATGCCGACTCTGTGGCAGAGTTCATCGTTTCACACTGCCTGGTCTCTGTCACTCTATTGAATTAGATTGATGATGGCAGATTGCAGGGGGCACTAACTGGACCTCAGTGGGAAAGCACGAAGTGTGTAGACAATCCTGGCAGGCACTTCGCTTTGAGAACCCTTCACCCCTTCACAGCTGTTGGCACTAGTCCATTGCTAACAGTGTCCACAGGACTTTAAAGAGACACCATGGGCCTTCTAATTTATGGTTTCAGTAACTTGTTACTGTCGAGGCAACTGTGACCTCAATTCTCTTATTGACAAAAAGATGAAGTGTTATTTGTTTTCTCTGACCTTTTAACATAAGGAAAGCTATAAAAGTTTTTTCCCCCCTCCATAACTAAAGTTGCCTTTCCTCCCAGATAAGTTCTTACTGACATAGACTTTTATATGCAGGAATCATTACTCTGAGATCAGCTCAATGATAAGATGTATCACTGCAATAAAATAGCTGTATCAGTCATTTCTAAAATGCTTCTGATCTCACTCTTTCTTAACAGCTTTCTAAAGAACGCGAGCGTCTTCAAGCAATGATGACCCACTTGCACATGCGACCCTCAGAGCCCAAACCATCTCCCAAACCTGTAAGTGCATATTGCTTTATAAACAGTAAATAGGTCTGCCAATGTAACAGACTAAGAAAATGAACAATTTAGTGACAGTTAGAAAACAATAAGTGTGATGAAAAATATGGCAATAAAATGAAAGTAAAATGTAATCGCTTGTCAAATTGTATGTTTCTTTTAAAGTAATGCTATCTTTTACAAAATCTATCCAATCTGCACCGTGGGTGACACTAAACAGAGTACACCTATCAGTGCAGAAATCACCGCCTTGGGGCTGAAGCCAGAGAGAATATCTTTCTGTGATAGGTTTACAGATATTAAAAGGAAACCCACTTTGAGCGACCAGAAAGACAGTAACAGTACAAATCACAGATAGAAAGGTACGTGGTGTGCCAAAGAGGACCTAGATCAATCATGAGATACAGATAAATAGATTTTTATAGAATATGTTGTCAAAAATGTTACACTGTGGTATAACCATTTTTTTGTTGCTTG